AAATAGTTGTATTTTAAAAATATTTAAATTGTATAGTATTTATTGTTTTATTGTCATCTCTACTATTTTCGCCACTTTCTCCTTACAATGTTCAGTACAATCCTCTTTTAGATTTAATTTTTTTTTTTTTAAATTGATCAAAAAAATACACCTGATACACAAATTAACACAACAAATAATTTTCTACAAAACCATATATAAATTATGAAACAAAAATAAAAAATAATATTTACAAATATAAAATATAATACATATGAAAAAAAGCGAAAAAATGAAATTTTGGAATTTGATTTTTAAAAATTTGGATTTTTATAGATTAATGCGAGAAATTAAAATATTTTGAAGTCTTTTACCATGTAAATTTTGTAAGAGAAATTGAATTTTTTTCAAGTCTTTTACCATATAAAATTAATATGGAAAAAGACTTAGAAAAAAAAATAAATAAGTTATTCCAATTTTGGTAAAAAGAGAAAAAAATTATGTTTTTCTTGTGATTGTTGTGAGACTATTTGGTAATGTTCCGGGTGTAACTACTTGGTTAAATTTAACACCGAATGTGAGTGTTGTGAGACTATTTGGTATTGAACCGGGTAGAACTACTTGGTTAAAATCACGACCTAATGTGATTGTTGTGAGACTATTTGGTAATGTGTCGGGTGTAACTACTTGGTTAAATTTAGCACCGAATGTGAGTGTTCTGAGACTATTTGGTAATGTTCCGGGTGTAACTACTTGGTTAAATTTAACACCGAATGTGAGTGTTGTGAGACTATTTGGTAATGAATCGGGTACAACTACTTGGTTAAAATCACGACCTAATGTGAGTGTTGTGAGACTATTTGGTAATGTTCCGGGTAGAACTACTTGGTTAAATTTAACACCGAATGTGAGTGTTGTGAGACTATTTGGTAATGTTCCGGGTAGAACTACTTGGTTAAATTTAACACCGAATGTGAGTGTTGTGAGACTATTTGGTAATGTTCCGGGTGAAACTACTTGGTTAAAATAATAACCGAATGTGATTGTTGTGAGACTATTTGGTAATGTTCCGGGTGAAACTACTTGGTTAAAATAATCACCGAATGTGAGTGTTGTGAGACTATTTGGTAATGTGTCGGGTGAAACTACTTTGTTAAAACCTTTACCGAATGTGAGTGTTGTGAGATTATTTGGTAATGTTCCGGGTGAAACTACTTGGTTAAAATAATGACCGAATGTGAGTGTTGTAAGACTATTTGGTAATGTTCCGGGTGAAACTACTTGGTTAAAATAATCACCGAATGTGAGTGTTGTGAGACTATTTGGTAATGTGCCGGGTGAAACTACTTGGTTAAAATAATAACCGAATGTGAGTGTTGTGAGACTATTTGGTAATGTTCCGGGTGAAACTACTTGGTTAAATGTATGACCGAATGTGAGTGTTGTGAGACTATTTGGTAATGTTCCGGGTGTAACTACTTGGTTAAAATCATAACCGAATGTGAGTGTTGTGAGACTATTTGGTAATGTGTCGGGTGTAACTACTTGGTTAAATTTAGCACCGAATGTGAGTGTTGTGAGATTATTTGGTAATGTTCCGGGTGTAACTACTTGGTTAAAATCATAACCGAATGTGAGTGTTGTGAGACTATTTGGTAATGTGTCGGGTGTAACTACTTGGTTAAATTTAGCACCGAATGTGAGTGTTCTGAGACTATTTGGTAATGTTCCGGGTGAAACTACTTGGTTAAAATAATCACCGAATGTGAGTGTTGTGAGACTATTTGGTAATGTGTCGGGTGAAACTACTTTGTTAAAACCTTTACCGAATGTGAGTGTTGTGAGACTATTTGGTAATGTGCCGGGTGAAACTACTTGGTTAAAATAATAACCGAATGTGAGTGTTGTGAGACTATTTGGTAATGTTCCGGGTGAAACTACTTGGTTAAATGTATGACCGAATGTGAGTGTTGTGAGACTATTTGGTAATGTTCCGGGTGTAACTACTTGGTTAAAATCATAACCGAATGTGAGTGTTGTGAGACTATTTGGTAATGTGCCGGGTGAAAATAATTTTCTATAATTAGTAGCGAGTGTGAGTGTAGTAATTGTATTTGGTAGATTTTCTGGAATTAACCTTTTATTAAAACGGTACAAATATAAATTTGTCAAAAAAGGTGGAAATTCATTTGTTTTTGGTAGTGGGTCATTACACCACTTAAGTGATGTTATATATGATTTATCTTTAAACTGATTATAGCCTGATTTATCAAAATCTACAGCCCTATATTCAATAAACTTTAAAATATGTTTATGAATTTCTTTTCTTAAAACAATATTATTCCAAACTTTATACAATAATCTATAATAATAATTTAAGAGAAAACACCAATTAATATGCTTTTAATTAATATACTATATTATATTTATATTTATTGTATTTTTTGTACTTACCTTTCACTAATGTTACTACTGTTTTTTAGCTCTTCGCATATAGGAAATTTTTCTGGGAAAGTAATTATTATGTCCAGAAGCTCATCCATTGTTTATATGAAAACATAAATAAAAAAAAAAATTTTAAAATAAATATTTTATCAAAATTTTAAAAAAATTTTCCCAAAAAAAATAATTTTTAAAATTTTTTTTGTTGCAAAAACGTTGTTATTGATAAATGATGAAGGGCGAGTTATAATTTTGAGTGTGATTTTTTATTAAGATATATTATTGAACCCACTTTTGATTTAATTTTTGTATTATAAAAAATGAAAATTAATTTTTTTTTTTTTTTTTTTTTTATTCATTTATAAATTTGGGAATGATAATTCGTCTGAAGATATAATTTATAGAAACAAGATTTACTATATAAAAATTTATATAAATTTATTCTATACAATAATAAATATCAAAAGAAGGTCTCCAATATGAAAATCACAATATTAAATCAGAGATTACAATTTTTCAAGAATTTAGTATAGTTCTTTCTCTTTCAGTTAAATATTAGTTTCATTATATTCAAATACAATAATAAATATGTAAATATTATAATTATGGTTACCTTATGAGTTATTTGCTATATGATTGACCTTGGACCGTTTAGAATTTTTTGAGCTTTGTCTGTTGAGTTGAACTAATGAGATTCATAATTACTTATTATAAATGTTGATAATGATGAGATTATTTCTTGGATGATGTAGATGACTTTTAATTTCATCGATTTCAATAATTGAAACTTTGAACGAAACGATTTTATTAATAATTTAGTCTTCATCGATTTCTTAAACGAAATATTGAATAATGAATTTAAACTATTAATCTAATCGACATCAAATTCTATATTGATCGATATCTATATAATCAACAAATTCGAAATTGGATCATCATCGTCATCTTCATCTAAATATTCACCTTCATTCCCATTAACCTATAAACCTTCGGCATTAGCTACTCTCTGCAATAAATTATTAATGAAATAAATTAATATATATTTTATATATTATGTATAAATATGAAAGTGTAAATTACTTACTTTAATGTTAACAAATGGTGCTCTACAATTTAGGCAGGTTCTATATTGTTCGGACCATTTAAAAATACATTCATAGCAAAATTTATGAACGCAATCAATTGTGGCGATTTGGCTGGTCTCGATTTCGCTGACACAAATAGTGCATTTGTTATCTATTTCTAAACGGCCTCTTTCCAATCTTTCTTGTTCTAATTTAAGTCTTTCTTCCCTTTCTTTTTTTAATCTAGCTTTTTCAATTCTTTTTAATCTTCTTCTTTCTTGTATTTCCCCTTCGATTTGTGCTCTTGCTGATCTTTCTCTTTGTTGCTGCATTCTTTGCATTCTTAATATATCTAATCTTTCTTTTTCTTCTCTTTCTTTTTGTAATCTTACTAATTTAATTTTTTCATATCTTTCTTTAATTTCTCTTTCTCTTTCTTCTATTTTAATTCTTTCCATTCTTTCAAATTCTTCCCTTTCTCTGTACATTCTTTGTACTCTTTCTATTTCTTTCAATCTTTGAAGTTGTTCTAATTTTTTCTTTTCTTCTTCTATTTCTTTTTCAATTCTTAATCTTTCCATTTGTTCTAATTTTTTCTTTTCTTCTCTTTCTTTATCAATTCTTAGTCTTTCCATTTCAATTATTTGTTTTTCATATTCTTCATCTTTGGTTTTTTGTTTTTTGGAAAGTTCTCTATCACTTTTTGTTGTTTCATTTTCAAATTCCAATGGTCTCTTCTTCATTGGATTTTTGCAGGTTGGATAGACAGATAATTTGGTTGGTTGATAGGTGGCTGGAGCAAATTTGGATGGAACAGATGATTCTTTTGGTGGATTTGGGTTATTATTTAATTGGGAAGAATTTGAATCAAATATTTGTGATTGTGGTTGATTGTGTGATTGGGGACATGTGTTATTAGATTGGAGTTGTGGTGATTGATCTTTTGGGGATACATTTTGTGGGTGTTGTTGTTGTTGGTGTGGGTGTTGGTTACAATGAATTTGAGCAGTTATAATATTGTTGGTTGGAATAGAAGGTTGAGTAAGAGTGTTGTTATTATTACTATTGTTGCAATTATTATTGCTATTGTTAATGCTATTTTTATTACTATTGCTATTATTATTTTTGGAAAAATATTTATTAATAAAATAAAATAATGAGATGATAGAAACTAAAATGTAAAAAATAATTAATAAACTATTCATTTTTAATTGGTATTTAATAATGGGCTATATGATATATTATTTAGTTTAGGGTTGGAAATTATTTTATAAATATAAAAAATTATTATTGCAATTATTAAAATTTATTATATGTGCCGAATATTATAATGAAAAAATAAAAATGTATGATTATTTGTATGTTTATAAAATAATAAAGAAAAAAAAAAAAAAAACTTTTTCAAAATACAATGAAAGAAAATTAAAAAATTTAAACAGTGTTCAATTAAAAAGGAAAAAGTGTGGTTGATCATTATAATAAAAAAAAAATTTAACAAGAGTCTTTAATTCATATTGAAATATTCCTCTCTAAAGTTATAATAAATTTCATTTCCATTATAATTTTTTTTATATCTTGAATGATTGGCCATTTTTTGTTGACCTAAAGAAATAAATTTTTTTTTTTTATTTTATTTTATTTTTTTAAATATTAATTAATGAAAAATATATAGTTAATTAGTTTATAATTTATAAAAAAATAAAAAAATAAAAGAAGAATTATAATATTAATTTTAATTTAAAATAATAATAATATAAATTTAAAAAATAAAAATATTTTTATAAAACGACAACATTACTTAATAATTAGATGTTTAAAAAAAAAAAGATCAATAATTTATTTAATATTATAACTACCATTATGATTGGTTATTTCCATTTCGAATAATTCGATTGGTTTACTAATGTTACGATGGGAGTTCCTATTATTCCATTTTTTATTAATAATGGGATTGGTTAATGAATAATATGAACCAGGAGAGCAAAACTCTGTATCTGTAGTTAGATTTAGTTGTTGATTAAAATTAACACCATTGTTTCTACCAAATGCACCTCTATTATAAACATCCTTTGTGGAAAATGCCCCATTATAAGGAATCCAAAGACCTTCACAGTAAAACTCTATTTGCGAATGGCAACCACAGTCAGCTAATATTTTACCAACTGGATCTTGTCTGAATGACTTTTCTGCTATTGATCTACCAGATATATATCTTGTTGGAATATTATTGTATCTTGTAATTGATGAAAAGAAAGTACTAAAACTTCCACATGCCCCTTTTCCTGTTTCATAACACTTAACTGCCTTTTGGGTCCCATGTTGAGAGCTATAGGTCATGTGCTTTTTTATAAAGAGTGATATTCTATAACAAAAACAAATGATAGATTCTTTTGTGCCATCGGAGAAAACTATTGGTTCTAATCTATGCTTTTTAATGAATCGACCAAATTCTTCAGAATCGTGGTCACACAAATTATCTGGATTTGTGTAAATGAATATTTCTTGTTCGGTTATTGGTGTATACTCGATATATTCATCCTTGTCTACTTCCTCCAAAGCATTTGAAAACATATCACCCTCTGTTATATGATAAATTGTAACTCTCGAGCTTGGAGGCATATTATCGTATTGAACCTTATAACATGGGTATAGGTTGGTTGGGATTTCGATAGATTTGATTATTCTTCCGGTAGTTTCACAATGGAGCTCGAATGTAGATGACCTGATATGTTGGGTTTGCATTGATTGAGGTTTATGTATATAAATTGATAAACTGTCGACACCTTCAATATCATAGGTTCTTTTTGCTGTATATTTAAATGAGAATTTATATTCTCTATTAACTTTCCATCTTCTATTCCACATTTTTTTATGAAGCTCGTGATCATTTAAAATTACATCGATTAATGGTTGGCCATCCTCTACCCTGGGCGGTTTACAAATTACACTTTTGTCATATTTATGATATAAATTTGTTGGAGATTGTGATATAGTTTCTCTGTTTAATATTTTTTTAATTGGCATATAATTATGCCAAATTTTTGAATAAGTTGAATGAATAGGTTGGCTACTACGATTTTTTTGTTGATGAGTATTATAAATTTGTGAACCCGCTGGTTCAAAAATTGGTGATTTATTTACATTTGGTTGTTCTAAGTGAGAATTATTGTCGATTGGGATTGAAAAAGGTGTTGAGGTTGGTGTAGGTTTAAACTGGTGTGATTGTGGTTGTAATTGCGATTGCGGTTGTGACTGTGGTTGTGTCCGTGGTTGTGATTGTTGAGGCTGAGAAGTACCTTTTCGTTGAAATAAAGAAAAAAAAGAATTTGATGATTTTTTTTGCTGAGGTTGTGAGGGTTGTAGTTGTTGATACAATTGATAGTTATTTGATTCGAAATTTGGAATTGGATTTTCAAATTTGGGTAATTCAAAACTTAATAGGTATGAAGAATTCCCATGAATTGAATTTAAACTGTTAAATAAACTTTGAATTGAAAATTGAAAATTGATGATAGGAATATCAAAAGAACCAATCCTGTCTCTAAAAACTGATTTAATATCATTAAACAATGAAGACTTTTCATTAATATATTCTTTTTTTGTTTGCTCTCTTTGATGTGGAGATAAATTTGATGATACCAGGTCAAACTCTTGTTTATCTACTGAATCTATATTTAACTTTAAAATTTTTAAAACTTCACAAAAACTTGATATTGTATTTCTATTTGATTCTTGGTTTATTGACCATTCATTTACAATGATTTCGACTTGACTTTTAATACTACTGCCATACAGTGATAATGGATGAGATCCTTCATTTCCACTACTAAAAGATCCTTTAATATTATTTAAGAAACTATTATTATTTAAATAAATATCTTAAAAATAAAAAATTAGAATCCATAGTTGAGATTTTATCTAAACTATTATTATCTATATTATTAATATTATTATTATTATTAATATAATTATAACGTTAATAACTATTTACCTTTAATTTTATTACAATAGTTTTCTATTGAATCATTTATTTTTAAAGCATTTGAATATAAGATATTAAATTGAGTTTTAATTATTTCATAGCTATTATCTAAACTTTTATTATTAGGGATATTCATTATAATTAATATTTCATTTAATTATTAAAAAAAATGAAAAAAAAAAAAAAAAAAATTATTTTAAAATTAAAAATAAAATAAAATAAAATATAAATAAATAAAAAAAATAAAAAAAAATAAATAAATAAATAAATAAACCACCACTAAAATTACTTTTTTAAGAAATATTATTATTATAAATACTATTATAATAATTTTTAAAATTCAAATAAATTTATTTAGTTTTTTGTTTTTTGTTTGTGGCTGTCTTTGTTGGGACTGGTTGTTGTTTTTTTGGTTCCTTTCTTTTAATTTCGGCTTGATCTTCAATAATTTCTAAATCATCTTCATCTTCTAAAATTTCTTTTTTTGGTTGTTGCTGTTGTTGTTGTTGTTGTTGTTTTTTATTTTTATTTTTATTAGTAATTGATTCTTGTTGTTGTTTAAATTGAATAAATTGATTTGTTAATTTTTCATTAGTTAATTTAAGATTTTCATTATTTTTTGTTAAAGCTTCAATATTTTTCTTTAATTGAGCAACTTGTTTTTCATAATCTTGAATAGTGTTATTTAATTCCTAAATAATTTAAAATCAATTAATAATTATTTTTTGATGTGGTGATATAATATTTAATATTTAATTTACATACATTAATTTTACTATTAGTTTCTTGATTTGTAATATTTATAATTTCGTCATTTGTAGATTGAGTACTTTCGATTCTTATTTGTAAATTTGAAACAGTTGGAAGATAATCCAAATGATTATCAACTTGAATATCTTTTAATTTCATTGGAACACTGGTTCTTTCAATGGTATTTGCAGAGTACTTTTCGAAAGGTTGTAATGGATCCATTAATTTCTTATTATCGACTATACCATTAGCATTGAAATTTAATTGATCGATTGGGTTCATCATAACAAATAATGACGAGATTCCACCTTTAATTGTATTGGCAATCGATCTGACAGTTTGACGACTAAAAGTATCCCAAATATTACAAACACCATCAATTGAACCTGAAATTAATAATGATCCATCGATTGATAATGATAATGAACTAATTGCTTTTGTGTGACCGGTGAATGTTTTTCTTTTATTGTTATTATTATCGATTTCTGAGGTGAAAGATTTTTCATTAATGCTATTATTGTTGCTGTTATTTGCGATACTATTATTTAATAATGAACCACTATTTAATTGAATTAAATCTATTTGATAAATTATACCATTGCCACCACCAACATAAAGAGTTGTTTCTGTTGAATCTAAAACTATTGAGGTTAAAAAGGTTGGGAAAATGATTGAATTTATACAGGCACCAGTGACCATATCCCATATTTTAACAGTTCTATCTAAAGAGGCGGAGAAAAGACGTGAATTTGAGCCACCAAAACCACTATATAACGATGTAATACCTAAAGAATGATCAGAGAATGAGTTTTTAGCTCTGATAAGTGAAACTTCTCTATCTAAAATATGGTCAAAACTCCAACAATTTATGATACCGTCATCACCGGCTGTAATTAAATAGAAATCGTCTTTGGTGAATGTAAGACATGAGATTTTATTGTAGTGAGCCTCCCACATTCTTAACAATGTACCTGTGGCGACTTCCCAAAGGTAAACAACACCACTTGGTGTACCCATTGCAACATAACTGCCATCGGAACTTGAACAAATTGGTCCAGATTTTTCTTGAAGTGGAGTTTTATAAATTGGTTGATCTTTTTTCCAACTGTACAAATGAATCATTGGTTTTTGTGATTGAGATGTAGCAAAATATTCATTACCAACTACACAAAATCCATTTGGTTCACTTGAACTACTATTAAAGGTGGCTAAAAGGACACCATTTCTAAGGTCATAAATAAATATTGAATTATCTTCTTTACTTGTTATTGCAATAACTTCGGATGTAATATTTGAAATTTGTTTATTATCTTTTTCTGGTGCTTGATCTAATGCGTTGCTTAATTTTATGTGTTTTACTTTTTTAACTTTAATTTTTGATTGAAATACCATATTTTATTTTATTTATATCTATATTTATTTATATATATATATTTATGTTATTTAAATAAAAAAAAATAATTTTTCGTTTTTTTTAAAAAAATTAAAAATTATAAAATTTAAAAAAAAAAAAAAAAAAAAACAAATATTTAATATTTTCTTTTTTTTGGCTTATAAAAAAAAACGAAATGATTAAAATTTGGTTTTTTTCATAGTTAAAAAATTATAAGAGTTTTTTTCAATTTTTTTTTTTTTTTTTTTTAAATTTTTCATTTTTTATTTTTTTTTACTTGATTAATTTGAATTATTTCTATATATATATATTTTAGGTTGTTTATAATTTTTAGAATAATCAATTTTGAAAATATCCATATATATACCAAAAATGCAAAGAGCATTCAAATTATCACAATCAGTTTCTAGAACTGCATTTAAAACATGTGTTGCCTCAGCACCAAAAGTTAATGCATCATCTTTTGCAACCTTTACAACTGCATCAGCAACAGCAGCATCAACCACAAGCGGTTCATTTGGAGATGGTTTAGTTAACAACCCATCCAAAAATACTTCAGTTCAAAAAGGAAATATGTATGTTTTTATATAAATAATCACAAATTTATTATAAAATAATAATAGTAATTGTTAATAAAAACAATAATAATAATAATAATAATAATAATAATAATAATAATAATAATAATAATAATAATAAACATAGTATTGAATATCCATTAATACAACAATACTAAAATAGTAATAGTTCTATTGTTCAATTTATAAAAATAATAATATTAGACTATATAAATCTTTAAATATATCATCACATAAACAAATATATTAACTGAATTTAATTATTTAGAAATAACTTTAGAACAACAGGATTACCTTTATTAGTTGCTGATGGAGATGATGATGATGATGGTGGGTGATTTTACAATAAAAGCAGATAAAGAATTTACAGGGGTGGGTGATTTTTTTTTTAATTTAAATATTTTTTACCTTTTTACATTTTTTTTTTTAATATTAATATAATTTATTTTATGTATTTAGGGCATCATAGCTTAACATGTAGGATAAAACAAAACAAAACAAATATTTAATAAACTAAAACTATAAAATAAAAATAATAAAAAAAAAATGGAAAATAAAAAAATTTTTTAAAAAAAAAAAACTATTGTAAAATACAAATTTTACTATTAATTTAATAATGATCTAACTTTATTTAAAGTGGGTTGTTTACCACATCTCTATTATTCGGTTATTATAGCATGTGTTGTTAAGATTTGGGCCATTATCATGAGTTAGACCAAAGATTGAATTTTATGATTTCTAAAATTAAAAAAATTTGTAATTTAAAAAGTGGGGTCTATTATTAAATTTTTTTTAACAGAGATATTTCCGGTAATCTATATTTAACCCAAAAAAAAAAAAAATAAAAAAAAAATTGATAATAATAAAATATGTTTATTATTATCAATTTTTTTTATAATAAAAATACTTATTTTTAACTATTATACTAT